CCCTCCTAAAAAATAAAAAATCATCGTTTTTTCCATTTTTATTTTATTTCAATTAATCATCGGTTTATTATGGTACATAACAATTGTTTCATAAAAATAATTTATTACTGGAAATCTTTTTTTGTTTCAGTTCTTGGCCTTTTAAGCTGAGATTCGATCATAGTAAATGCCATTCCTTCGCGTTTGCTTGGGAGATACATGATGTGCTGCCTCGATGACAATTTTAATTTTTAATGTGACACTCCGTTGCTTGTATATGACAGGGTATTTCCAAATCTTTAATTGCAGCATCTACGAACATGTATCCTCGGATTTTACCGTCTGACATTGATCGCAAAAAAGAAGGTTCTGTCAAATTTACATTTTCACCGTACGGTCACCGTATAAATTTCGATTGCAACGACTATATAGACATAATCGACTGGGAAAACGTAAATTTGACCGAACCTGCTTTTTCGCGATCAATGTCAGACAATAAAAAGGGATACATGTTCGCAGATGCTGCAATTAAAGATTTGAAAATACCCTGTCATATACAAGCAACGGAGCGTCACATTAAAAAATTGTCACCGAGATAGCACATCGTGTGTCCCCCAAGCAAACGCGAAGGAATGACATTTACTATAATCGAATCTCGGCTTAAAAGACCGAGAACTGAAAAAAAAAAATGTCTAACAATAAATTATTTTTATGACAATTGTTATGTATTATAATAAATCGATGATTAATTGAAATAAAATAAAAATGAAAAAAAAATGTTTTTTATTTTTTAGGAGAGATAGATATTCATTAAAAAATTTCTGCTTGTAACCAAAATTCATCATTTTTTATGCCTTTTCCGAAAATACATGCACAACAGGGGGTAAGAAATCGTTCCACCCTACTATGCATATTATAGATGTATTATGTACCACAATATTTTTGGTAAGAGAAAATTTTAATTGAGTTAAAAAATTTGAAACAAAAAAATATTTTGTACTTCTGCAACACTAAAAAGTTAATAAAAAAGAAAATAAAATATACTTTCACTGTCTAGCTATCATGAGATGGGAACGAGAGATCTACCAACTATGATTGATTATGTACTTAATTACACAAAACAAGAGACTTTACATTACATCGGTCTCTCAATGGGAAATACTGTGTTATTCACTTTACTATCCACGAAACCTGAATACAATATAAAAATAAAATTGGGTATCTGCCTTGCTCCAGTCGCCAT